CGGGGTTCCTTGCGCAACCAACCCCAATCCTAAACTCAACCCCAAACCCAACAAACCCCAAATCCAACCCCAACACAACGAACTCCAAATCCGAACCCAACCCCAACTCAATGAACCCCAAATCCACCCCAAACCCCAAAGCAACAAACCCCAAATCCAACCCAAATCCAACCCAAATCCAACCCCAACGCCAATGCAATGAACCCCAAATCCAATCCCAACCCCAACCCAACCCCAACCAACCCCGAACCCAACAAATCCCAACCCCAACTCCAACCCAACCCCAACCCCAAACCCAACCAAACCCAACCCAACCCAACCAAACCAAACTCGATCAACCCCAATCCCAAATCCACCTGACCCCAACCTCAACCCCAAATTCAATCCCAACCCCACCCTGACCCCAACCCGACTGTCCCCAAACCCAACCGACCCCACACCCAACCAACCCCAAACCCAAATTCGATCCCAACCCCAGTCCAACCCCAACCCCAACCCAACCCTGACCCCAATCCAACCCCGACCCAACCCTAACCCTAAACCCAACTCTCTCCTCCAGAGATGGGGATATGGGATGGAGGTATGGGATGGCACTGCTGTGTCCCCACGGCCGCTGGCGGTGCCCCCCTCCCGCCCCCTGCCCCCCTCCTGCCTTTCCCTATCAGAAACCCCCCGGACGGTTTAATTGATGTTTCACCCAGACGCTGCTAATGAGGCGATTAAATTAATTACAGCCGTGTTTGCGCCGCCGAGAGCGGAGGCGACGGCTCCACGGCCCCCCGGGGGGGGGGGGGGGGGGGGGGGGTCGGGGTCGGTGCCGACGTGGGGCAACGGGAACGGGATGGAGGGATGGGGAAGGGGGGAGTGGAGATGTGGGGGGGTGGAGATGTGGGGGGGTGGAGATGTGGGGATGGAGCGGCGGGGTCAGCGCCGTGGGGACGGAGTGACAGAGATGGGGAAAATGGGGTCTGAGTGACCGCGCTTGGAGCCATGGGGTGGAGGAGCGGCCGGGGTGAGGCTATGGGGCAGAGCCGTGTGGGTCTCACGGTGGGGGTCCCCTCGCGGTCCCCCCTTCCCGCTCCATCCCCCGTCTCGGAGCCGTTCCCATCCCCCGTTGCCATGGGAACCACGCGGTTGCCGGGCGGAGCCTCGCGTGCCCACGCATCCCTGCACCCCCGGAGCCGTGGGCGGTTCCAATGGGGACCGGGGATGCGGCCCAGCCCCACTGCATCGCCTCCAGCCCCACTGCATCACCTCCAGCCCCACTGCATCGCCTCCAGCCCCACTGCATCACCTCCAGTCCCATTGCATCGTCTCCAGCCCCACTGCATCGCCTCTGATTCCATTGCATTGTCTCTGGCCCCACTGCGTCTCCTCCAGCCCCACTGCATCGCCTCCAGTCCCATTGCATCGCCTCCAGCCCCATTGCATCGCCTCTGGCCCCACTGCATTGCCTCTGATTCCATTGCATTGTCTCTGGCCCCACTGCGTCTCCTCCAGCCCCACTGCATCGCCTCCAGTCCCATTGCATCTCCTCCAGCCCCATTGCATCGCCTCCAGCCCCACTGCATCACCTTCAGCCCCACTGCATTGCCTCTGATTCCATTGCATTGTCTCTGGCCCCACTGCATCACCTTCAGCCCCACTGCATCGCCTCCAGCCCCATTGCATCGCCTCCAGCCCCATTGCATTGCCTCTGGCCCCACTGCATCGCCTCTGATTCCATTGCATTGTCTCTGGCCCCACTGCGTCTCCTCCAGCCCCATTGCATCGCCTCCAGCCCCACTGCATCGCCTCCAGCCCCATTGCACTGCCTCTGATTCCATTGCATTGTCTCTGGCCCCACTGCATCACCTTCAGCCACACTGCATCGCCTCCGGCCCCATTGCATCGTCTCCAGCCCCATTGCATTGTCTCTGGCCCCACTGCATTGCCTCCAGCCCCACTGCATTGCCTCCAGCCCCACTGCATTGCCTCCAGCCCCACTGCATCGCCTCCAGCCCCACTGCATCACCTTCAGCCCTACTGCATTGCCTCTGATTCCATTGCATTGTCTCTGGCCCCACTGCGTCGCCTCCAGCCCCACTGCATCATCCCCACACCCAGAGCACCATTCCCAGCCGCGCTGAATCCTGCCCCGACCCATAGCATTGTCCCCAGCCCTGCTCCCAACCCCACTGCAGCCCCAACGCACTGCCCCCCAACCCCACTCCATTGATCCCAGCCCCACTGCTATGACTCCAACCCAAAGCTTTGACCCCAACCCGTTGCGTTGACCCCAACCCACTGCAATGACCCCACAGCATTGTGTTGACCCCGATCCATTCCATTGACCCCAACGCATTGCGTTGACCCCACACCACTGCATTGACCCCAACCCACTGCATTGACCCCAACCCACTGTGTTGACCCCAACCCATTGCGTTGACCCCACACCACTGCATTGACCCCAACCCATTGCATTGACCCCAACCCACTGCATTGACCCCAACCCATTGCATTGACCCCAACCCCTTCCATTGCCCCCAACCCATTTCATTGACCCCAACCCATTGCATTGACCCCAACCCATTGTGTTCCCCCAACCCCTTCCATTGCCCCCAACCCACTGCATTGCCCCCAACCCATTGCATTGCCCCCAACCCACTGCATTGCCCCCAACCCACTGCATTGACCCCAACCCATTGCATTGACCCCAACCCCTTCCATTGCCCCCAACCCATTGCATTGACCCCAACCCCTTCCATTGCCCCCAACCCACCGAAGCTCTTCAGCAGCCCCGACCCACCCCCACCCCTCACCCCCCCCCTCCCCACCGCCCCGCTGACCTCTCCCCCCCACAGCCCGGCATGGCGGCGTGGCGGGCGGCGCTGGCGGCGGCGTTGCTGCTGGCGGAGCCCTGCGCCCCGGAGCCGCCGTCGGAAACCAACGGGACGTGCCAGGGCTCCAACCGCTGCCAGCCCGGTGTGCTGCTGCCCGTCTGGCAGCCCGACGACCCCTCCTTGGGCGACAAAGCGGCGCGCGCCGTCGTCTACTTCGTGGCCATGATGTACATGTTCCTGGGCGTCTCCATCATCGCCGACCGCTTCATGGCTTCCATCGAGGTCATCACCTCCAAGGAGAAGGAGATCACCATCACCAAGGCCAACGGCGAGACCAGCATCGGCACGGTGCGCATCTGGAACGAGACGGTGTCCAACCTGACGCTGATGGCGCTGGGCTCGTCGGCGCCGGAGATCCTGCTGTCGGTGATCGAGGTGTGCGGCCACAACTTCCAGGCGGGCGAATTGGGTCCCGGCACCATCGTGGGCAGCGCCGCCTTCAACATGTTTGTGGTCATCGCCGTCTGCGTCTACGTCATCCCCAGCGGGGAGAGCCGCCGCATCAAACACCTGCGCGTCTTCTTCGTCACGGCCGCCTGGAGCATCTTCGCCTACATCTGGCTCTACCTCATCCTGGCCGTCATCTCCCCCGGCGTGGTGCAGGTGTGGGAAGCGCTGCTCACCCTCGTCTTCTTCCCGGTCTGCGTGGTCTTCGCCTGGGCTGCCGACAAGCGGCTGCTCTTCTATAAGTACGTCTACAAGCGCTACCGCGCCGACCCGCGCAGCGGGATCATCATCGGCACCGAGGCGGAGCTGCCCAAAGGCATCGAGATGGACGGCGGCTTCCAGCCCTCCGAGCGCCGCGAGGCCGAAGGCTCCGCCGTCGCCGGCTCCGCTTCGCCCGCCCTCCCCGCCAGCGCCGAGGAGAAGGAGCTGGACGAGAGCCGGCGGGAGGTGATCCAGATCCTGAAGGACCTGAAGCAGAAGCACCCGGAGCGCGAGCTGGAGCAGCTGGTGGACATGGCCAACTACTACGCCCTGCTGCACCAGCAGAAGAGCCGCGCTTTCTACCGCATCCAGGCCACGAGGATGATGACGGGCGCCGGCAACGTCCTGAAGAAGCACGTGGCCGAGTTCTCCAAGCGCTCCTCGGCGCTGCTGGAGGTGCCGTCGGACGCCGAGGAGGAGGCGTGCAGCCGCATCTTCTTTGAACCCTGCCTCTACCACTGCCTGGAGAACTGCGGGGCCGTGACGCTGTCGGTGGCCTGCCAGCACGGCACGGAGCTCAACCACACCTTCTACGTGGACTACAAGACGGAGGACGGCTCGGCCAAGGCGGGCTCGGACTACGAGTACAGCGAGGGGACGCTGATCTTCAAGCCGGGGGAGACGCAGAAGGAGCTGAAGATCGGCATCATCGACGACGACATCTTCGAGGAGGACGAGCACTTCTTTGTGCGGCTGCTCAACCTGCGCGTGGGCGACGCCGAAGGGATGTTCGAGGCCGACTCGGCCGAGCATCCCAAGGGCCGCCTGGTGGCGCCGCTGGTGGCCACCGTCACCATCCTGGACGACGACCACGCCGGCATCTTCTCCTTCCAGGAGCGCGTGGTGCACGTCAGCGAGTGCCAGGGCGCCGTGGAGGTGACGGTGGTGCGAAGCTCCGGCGCCCGCGGGACGGTGATGCTGCCGTACCGCACCGTGGAGGGCACCGCCAGGGGAGGGGGAGTCGACTACGAGGATGCGTGCGGGGAATTGGAGTTCCGCAACGATGAGACGGCGTGAGGGCGGGCGGGGGGACGGGGGTG